TCATAAAATGGTGTTGTGGTTTGATTTGTTTTTGAGGACACTATTTTTATTAACCTTGTATTAACCTTTTAATACAATACGGTGTGGTACTGCATAAAAAAATCACAAGCTATACTATGAAACTGTTTTGAACTGGTCAAAAGATGATATAAAGTTGAGGACTAAAGCTTTATTTTTTTATAGGTGTACATTTTCCTGTAGCTTTTAGATCTATCATGGCTGAAACCTCCACTGGTCAATTCAGACCAATTTCTGCTGGATAAAAATATCAAATGTTAGAGATGAAACTACCTAAAAACGTATTTTTTAAATTGAAATTAATCATATTGGGGTGCTGCTGCTGTATGTAACTCAAGCAATGATGTAAAAGTAAAAAAATGAATTACACGTGCAGAATATGTGTTGCCAGAATACTGTGTCACTGTCTATGAGCATCAAATAGTTCTGTAACATTTCAAACAATGTAAATGCATCTCCCAAGCATGTATTAGAAAGGAATGGTGTGTTTCCCATATTGACGTTGAAGTCACACAAAAAAGGAGGACCCTGTTTGACAATCCCTTGCCTATTAGCCATGAATTGGCCAGAAATTATTCACCATCCATTGACTTCAATAGGGTTTGGATTACAGCTCTCAATTTCCAGGATTTAGGATAAGTTTGACCGACAGCCCACAAATCAAACCCAAGCCAATTCACTTATTCACTTATCCCTACTTTCTGAACTGTCAAAGCAATTAAAATTGACAGTGTGGAAATGAGATTGTGGACTTTCCTAGAATACTGTGCAGAAGGTACTATAATGAATGTCTTCTGTGTCGAATAAAAACATCAGTAGAACCTCTTTACTATTTTACCATGGTGCACATAGCATGGAGGCTGCTATGAGCATGGCATTTAGGGTTAAAGCCCATGTGCTATATCTATACTGTTTAGGAAAGACAGACATGCATGTTATTAAATTTGTACAATAATGTTTTTAAAATATCCTGGTGAAAAAATTATTAGTGGAATCACAGATTTGAAACTTTAGAGAGCTACAGAAGTCAACTATATGAATCATCCACATTGAGCATTTTGATATGTTCTCTCATCACTACTTACCACTCATAATTCTTTGCCTGGTTAATTTTATTTATACATGTCTAATGTATTTGTCAGCACATCAGTGACTATTTTGCAACAATACAAGAACATAAGCTGATCAATATCACATTAAATTACCGCATTTTATGGTAATAGCACTCCTGAAAAATGTTATTATTGTCTGGAACTCTTTTGCTACTCAGTTGCTGTTGAGGTTATTCTTTCAATAAATTCCAAGTACTTAAGTACAGTATTCCTTCCCCTTCAGAGTAATAAAGTATGTTCTTAGGAAAACAGCATCTAGAACGCATTACTTTTTAAAAAAAAGAAATGAATGAAAAATGTGCTTTGCTGCAGTGTCGAGTTCACTTAAGTTGATACTTAAAGGTCTAGAGGATAATACATTCGCCGTATTGCAGTGTTCTAGCATTCCCGCTGTCCTTTACAAACTAATTGAACTTGTGATAAATGTGCAGCTCTAATTGATTCAATGTACTGTCTTTCCATAGAAAAAAAAAATGTGGACTAGAGTCATTAAAGCTTGGTCTACTGTATTGCATACAGATCACTTGATGACTCAATTTACTTTCATCAATTGGAGCCTTTAGACCTAGAAACAGTAAAATAAGCACTGGGGTGCCCCATGTAAATGTACTTCACTCACACACAGTTGATGAAGATTACATGATATGTACCAAAGAAAAGACACAATAGCACCATCCTTTTTTTTTCATGGTTAAGTTAAGACAATTAGTACTATGCAAAACACATTAGTTAATGTCCTTTAATGATGTTGCTGTTGCACTTGCTTTTTCTTAAGTACCACTTAATGTATGCATTGTTTACAATGAGCAAGTGGTAATACATGCACATATTTTTTCTGTGTAAATACAAGGATCTTTATTACTTTAAAGTGTTTACAAAAGTGGCATTGTCTTTGAATAACATATGTTATAACATAAAAATATTCCTATACTGCTTGACATTTTTAGAATATCATATCAATATAGTGGAGTAGGAAGGTGTGAGATATAGGTAAACATTTATATTTCTGAAGGTTATGTGTAATAAAAATGTGTTAAAAGAAACCTATCAGGAAAGAAATAAGAAAACCTGACTGTTCACTTGTTTTTGGAGAACCCTGTTCTGGGCTGTTATCAGTATCTTTCTTCACTGATAAGTAAGTTAGTGCCCAGGAACAAGCATTTCCAATTCCAATTTTTAGCAGAGGAGGGTTTGAATCTAAGAGTTGATTGATGATATTGTTTGGACATATTTAGAATTTAGGAAGCTTTGCATACTGTCCCAATGATCACATGGTACAGTTTTTGATGTATGTGTATGGGTAAAGAATCTGTACCTTAATGTTCCCATGTTTGATGCCCCTTGCTGAGGAAATGTTAATCAATGCCCCCCTTTGAGAGCTAGCAGTTGACAATGTGCAAGGCTTCTAGTTGTCAGATTGGGCTGTAACAGCTCTGACCGCCTCTAACAATAGGGAAACTATTCAGCATGCTTTCTCGTTATGTGATTGTCATTTCAGTTATGATAAAGTGATCAAATTCAGGCTCGGGTAAATTGCCAAAAAAGATGGCAGTGTGCCTCTGTACTTATAGATACAATTACAATATTTGCCATGGTGTAATTTAGCCTTTTTTGTCACTCAGGACTCTCAGTCAGAAAGGCTGAGAGGTTTCAAAAAACAAGTATCTTTACAGGGAAAGAGCTGGCTTTTCAGTTCTTTCCAGGTTTTCTTGGTCCTAGTTGAGATCGTGGTACCTGGAGATTTCAAAGAGACTTGGGAGGGTTGAAAACTTTTGTTCTGGCTCTGGGTATTGCTGAGTACAAGCATAGGCAGGTCAGGTAGCTAAAGACAACCTTATTAATGAGGGCTGACACAGAGTTCAGTGGGTGTGTTGTGTGTGTGGTGGAGCCACATGGGAGACAGCCAGGGAGGCTGGGAGAGATGGTAAGGCTGAGAGAGCCAGTGACACATGAGGGGTGTGTTGGAGACACACAGGAAGTGTGGAACAGCAGGAGTCACATTGGAGGTGTGGAGTTGCTGGAATCACACAGGCATGTGGGAAGCCATTCTGGAGTGCTAAAGTGAACTGAATATTGCTGTAAACTGTTTTTTTCTGTGGGGAAGTACCCCGAAAACCCTGGGATGGGGATATGTTGTCTATGTAAGACAATCTTGAGTCAGTGAATTCATGTTACTTTGTTGGAAACAAATTTGCAAATGTACTTTGTGCATTATTTTGCTTAGAAAAAAATACTTTGTTTGTGGAAGAATAAAAGACTATATATGGATATATTTTAAATATAGAAAATTTCTTAAAAATTAGTTAGGTCTGTAAATTAGTCATGTATGGGTAAAGTCAGGTTAACCAGTGCATACTGACACCTGTAAATTTAGCATGGCCACCTAAGTTTTAATGACCTCTGGTCCCAAAAAGCAGAAAGCACAGAAAACAATGAACAGCTGCAAACAGAACATATTCAAAAGTGTTAAGGTTAGCAGCAGTGTAATAGAATGTAATGCTAACCATTATGCAGATGACAAAAGAAAGAGTTATTACAACCTTACAGAAGCATCTAGACAAAATGTAAATATGGGCAGATTAAGTTTAATGTTAAATAATGCAAGGCAATGCACCAAGGCCACAGTAGCATTGCCTTCTATTCTGGGGCATTTTCAACTGGTTATGCTTACCTGAAGTGCAAAGCTGACTGGCTCTTAGACTGGTCCTTCCAGCCTCTCTCCTCCTCCGCTGCAGCGGTCTAATGTCCCTTAAATCATCATGTTCTATACACTGTGTATAGGTGTAAGGACACTGAGGAACATTCCAATGCTGCAGCGTAGAAGGGGACCGGCTTCAAAGACCAGAAAAGCAGGCAGCAGGCTTAGGGGTATGGGTGAGTATACATTCTTATAGACAGAAACAAGCAGTTAAATCTTGCAGTGGGGCTTTGCCCAGAGTTTTTCTTTAACTAATTGCAGATCTTGAACATGTAGATGCTTCCAATACCAGTTGTTTCATGCATTTTGACAAATTACACAACAGAGATGCAGTCCACACATTAACAAAAGGCATCCTAGGGACATTAACTGTACACAAATGTTTAATCACCTGGATAAAAATATTTAATCAAAACACTAATGCTTTGACTTGAAATGTAAGCATGCTAGTAACAGCCAATATGCAGCGTGACAAATGTTGCCATTTTGTGTCATCCATCTACCTTTTAAGTGTAAAAATAGTTTAAAATTAGTGACTATCTTGTCATAAAAACACCTATGGCAGTACAAAATGTAATGGAAATGTGCACAATGCAGTTAACACATAGCAGATGATTTTTGATTGGCTGCATTGGTTCACATCACTTTTTTGTTCATTATTGTCTAAACCAAATCAAAATGCTTTGTTTTATTAAACTATTAATATAATGTAACATTTTCCAATATTTTCTTATGTCCCCACCATTTGTTACCCTATTTTTTCTTATGTCTAACTGTAATTATCAATCTAGTTTCCATAGCTTTTAGTGCAATATATGCTTCTTTTTTATTGTGGAAAAGCATTTTTCATTATGCTAATGTTGTAATCTTATGTCTAGGGCTTTAAGCCTAATAAATTTCCACAACCTTCTCTTAGCATCAATCTTTGATTTTTCTATTTCGTTTGTAGTCATTTGCAGTGAGACCATTGATTTGACCTTCCTTGTTATTGGGATAAAGCATGCTGGGGATGGTGAATGTCACAGAGTGCCATGTAAAATAAAAATGCATTATGTATATTGTGTTATGACAGGTAAAAGCTTTAGCAGATGATGAATACTGATATATAAATCCTCAGAGAAGCTCCACCCTACAATATCCTCCACTTACCATTATTATTTTCTTTTTTACAGGCCGAGTCACCATGCTGCTGCAGATTCTACTGGAAGTTGTGCCAACGGAAGAGAATGTTTCCTGAAAAGAAAGTGTTGGAACATGCCAAGTGCTTTCCTTCGAGTTGACAAATAACACAAGCAGTCCATTTATTGTTGTAGTTTATACATGCTGCAAACATACATTAGTTTATTATTATGTACAGTAGTAACATTTTATTTATTTTACTTAATGTCTTTTAAATTATTGGAAATGGACCAAAATGCCCACAGCTAGAATGGGTTAAGGTAGGGCACCAGTCGTCATAGTTTTTCTGAAGTATAAGAGGCACTTCCCTGAAAATATGTCTTTCCTTTTGCATCCAGTTATCAGGGTTGAACACATTATGAAGCTGATTGAATACAAAGCACAGGATTATAGGTTCAAAGCCAGTAATTGTTTATCTTTGGTGTGTCAGTTCTGCTTCTTAATAGCGTTAGAGAATCACCTGCACACCATACAGCGCTTGAACCAAATTAAATATCTGTTGGTGCTCGAAATGATGATACGGATTGCGCCGTTTAACAATCCAAGTAAAGATAGTAGTCACCAGCACTCACTTCTAAAAGGACAGCACTTTTATTGATATGTCACATGCGTCAAGAAGCCTACGTTTTGGGGGCCGTGCAGGGCCTCTTCATCAGGGCGACATCAGTTCTGCTTCTTAAAACATGCCTTAAAGTGGCATTAAAGGCAAAAAAGTTTTCCATCCCCCAATGTTAATGTCAGCACTTACCTTAAATGCGGTTTCTTAATCCGATCTTCCTCTTCTTTCCTGATGTTTTCATCTGTCTCTCCAGCGGTGCGGCGGCTCTCCGATCCAGCGTTGACTCCTCTCTGCTTGCAGGCACTTCCGATGCACGCGTCCGAATGCACACGCCCATAGACTTACCTTGCGTCTCTGCTTGTCTCGCCCAAAAATCCAAACTGCTCATGCGCCCGCCCCAAGATGCTTTGCGGCCGCCCGAGCAGTTTTGGATTCTCAGGCGGGAGCGTGTGACGAAAACAGTGTAAGTGTAAACCGCTGTTAAAGCGTTTTTTAAACTTTTTGCCTATATCTACTGCTTGCTAGCAGTAGATATAGGAAAAAAAACGGAGGGTTTAGAACCCCACTTAACACTGTCCTCCTCAAGACTTCTACCATCTATCCTCAGTGTCTTACACATATAAAAATAATGGGGCTGCTAATAACTCTTGCTCTGTGCCTCCTCTGTTATTTCAGCAGCATCAGAAGTCACATCCACTGTGTGCCTTAATTGAAATGTCAGGTGTATATAGCATAGTCAAAATGAATTGTAAATGCAGCAAAGTTTTCTATACGTGGACAATTTTTTTGTTTGCTTTTTGATTGGATTTTTTTAAAGACTGAAGGACACATTATGACTTTTTATTTATTTCTGATTGAAATAGTAATGTTACTTATTAAGAATGTTTATCATTGAAGATAAACGTATGATTCTCTTTATTCTAGAGGTTGTCCAAAGCTTTCATTATTTGTATTTTTAACATAAACAGTCCATTCTTGTTTCTAATGTTTAGTTTTGATCCTATAATAAACCATGGAGAAATGCAGATGAGTATTGGCAATTGTTTTACATTTGTGTCTGTCTCTTTATACAGAAGACAAATATGATATAAAATTAAAGATCACTTAAGCTTATACTGTGCTGGTATTCAGCATAGACTTCAGTATGGCCTGCTTTGGTGTTGTCCTTTTCCTTATTAAGGTGAGGAAGCAATAAAAGTAGAGCTCTATCTGTTCCCAAAAAATTGTATAAATTGAATTTCAGTACAGCGTTGCATGACGGAATAAATGTTGGTTAAAGTACTGCAGTGCTGAATACTAAAAAATGGCCTGGCCAGGAAAGTTTAGCCTCCTTGGTCAGCAAGTGGTTAAGGCAGGTTAACCACTTGCTGACCAAGGAGGCTAAACTTTCCTGGCCAGGCCATTTTTCAGTATTCAGCACTGCAGTACTTTGACCGACATTTATTCCGTCATGCAATGCTGTACTGAAATTCATTTTTTCAAATCAGCAAAGTTACACAAAATGTTCTTTGCTTATCTCACATATTTGTTTAATGTATCTATTTTGGTACAGAAATATGTGAGATAAGCAAAGAACATTTTGTGTAACTTTGCTGTGAAGACTATTACTCTGTTTTAGGAACCATGTTGGGCAAAAGAGGGGAGTGAAATTTAGGCTGACAGGGTTCTTTTATAATATCGCTGGATTTGAAAACATCTTTCAAAATCTCTTTCTTTGTTGTATCACCTATTTTTTGCTCATGGTTGTTATTATTACTTATATTATATAAATAAGATGAAGTAAATAGTTTTTTTGCCCTATAAGATAACAATGGGCAGTACGTTGTCAGTTCTATATGCATTTTATCACATAGCTCACCAATCAAGTCCCCTCAGAGAAAGAAATAACAGTATGGTATTTGGACTTAAGAGTCATGTGCCTAGACCCCCCCTACCTCTTTCTCTACACATACACCATATTCAGGTTTGATGATATCCACTCATGTCTAGAGATGACCTGACCAGACAAAGATAAAAACAAATTAAAATAAATGTGCTGAGATGCCCCCTGCCCTCTCCTTGTCTTGCTGTACTAGGTCTTGACTTTATGGCACATAAAACCCTTCATAGAATAAAGATGCCATGAAAATATGTATCTGCTCTCCTCTGAACCTTGCCTTGATGTGACACCCAATGAATTAAATAGAACTGTAGATACAGGTAGTTTTTCTAAAGCCAGGCAGATATTCATATTTGCTTTTTGTAACATTTGCTTTGAGATATATGTTAACAAAATGCCTTATTTACTTCCATAATTTATCACATTGAGTATTAATTTAATTTTAAATGTATAGTATATAAATAGTAATGATAATAACAATGATAATAATAAACAAACAATATTACAAAGAGACTGTTTTCTGTTTGTTAATAAGATCTTTTCTGTATTGATATCGACCGCTTTGTTATCCTGTATAGGGATGGGCTGCATGTTCGAGTCGCACATAGGTTCGACTCGAACATAGCCTGTTCTAGCGTTCGCCGAACGCCGAACATTACGGGATGTCCGCGGTCTGTTCGACCGTGGAACATCCCACAATGCACTGCGCTGTCCGAAACGGTAATTGGCTACAGTCTTGCACCTGACCGCAGGTGCAAGACTGTAGTGAATAGACCCCTAAATTGTGAGATCATGACCCATTTTCTGAAAACTGACCAGCTGCTTGTACTGGGCTGGCAAGTACACAGATGCGTCTAAAGCAGAGCTTGAAAATCCTAGGCGCCAGGTAGTCAATGCTCCTTAAAAATTACAGCTGTCACCTCTTATGTTTTTCTCTAGTTGTTGTCAATGGAGCTGGCTCCTGGATAGGACAGGTATGCTAGTGGTATTTTTATAAGAATTATCAATTGAAAAAGGAGCCTCTTAAGATAGAAAAATTGGATCTGCCTTTTTATTTGATTTTTATAGCTGAAAAGCTACTATCCTCATCCTTGCGTCATTAAAAGGTCCATCACAATACACCTGTGCATATCTTTTGTCAGGACATCTTATAAACATATGTTTTTTCCAGATAATAATTCCCTCAGTAGTGAACAGCAATTAAGAATGACAGTTCATTTAACTCACGAAGCAATGTCATCTCCCATATTTCTATATGGACATGTTGGCCTTAACACTGGCTAATGTTTGCAATATCTATAAGTCCACATTGATCATTAACCTTAACATAAAATACATGTCAGCCCTTTCTTTGAATTGTGCTATCATTTCTATAGTGTTAAATGTATAAAATGCATCAGGTCAGTGTCTGTTGTTATACTAAAAAAAAAGTGCTCTTGTTTCCAAATCTTCGTGTTAACTCCTTGAAATATAAATCTTTGGAATTTCCTCCCTACTGTTGTAGTAGCTGAAACCTTTAAAAATTGGGTTCAGAGGTCTTTCACCCTTTGCTGAACAAGACTATGTTTTCCTGACTTCAAGCATAGTACCTCGATCTTTTTTCCCTGTGCACTTTGACCAGGGCTTAGAAAATGATAAATGTCAAAGAGATTTAGGAAATGCTCCCACTGAGTAGAAAAGAATGAACTGCTGTTGTATCGGTTCTGTTGTCAGCGTTCCTGAATAGTACAGTCTGTGCAGAAGCCAAGAAAGGATTTCTGGTTTTTAAAGCTGCTTGTGTTAAGCCAGAGGCATAACTTGAGGTATAAACATTTCTCCAAAAGACTTGTTTGGCCTTTAATGAACCTGCATTTGGATATAATATGCATTATGGGATATTGGATTTACTATAGTTTTTGATTAATGTTAATAACTTTTGACACTATTTTTACTATATTATAACTTACTGTAAATTTAACAGGGCTCAAAGAATAGTATTAACTACTCCTTGTTTTATTTAGTTTATATATTTTTTTCTATTTTACAACAATGTGCTTAACTGTTCACAATCTATTCTGTTTTAGTTAATCCTATAATTTCCTTAATGAGAACCCAGGAGAAAGTAACATGCTCACTTTAATTCAATCCCTCAGCAGCATCAGCAGCACATACCCCTCTCTTTTTTTTTTGTTCAATTGAGGAGCAATGTAGCCACCCTTGGACAGCAGCATTGCTGTAGAGAGGATAGTGTTGGATGGACTAGTAGAATTACATGGACTTTACATAAGTAACTAACAAATTACATCTGAACTCCAGCTAACACTTTTTAATCCCAGCTAACACTTTTTAACCAGTTACTACAACATTTTTGTTTTACTTTTGAGATAAATGAATAATTAAATGAATAAAATCTGACCATTATAAGCACCCCCATCATTATTAAATGGATTTCCTCAGCCCTCTTAACTGCCACTGGACAATTTAGAATGTTAAAGGATACTGAAAAATAACAGGCTTACTGGCAGGATAAACAGATAATAAAACAATTATTCCCATGATGCACTATAAATGCCACTTGATAAACTAAAGGTGAGATTGTAGTCCATCACAGGAGCGAGCTTGGAGTGGTGGCTACTTTACAACTCCAACAGGGACCATGGGGAACAAAAGTAGCCACCCTCCAGAAGGAAGGACAGTGTCAGCACCATATCAGAGATGATTGGAGGATCTACAGCTGAGTGATACACCAATAAGATACATTTTTGTTAATAGTTCATGTACTTGAAT